TAAATGACCTCAGAACTTCAACTTACGAATAAAGCTTGTTTTAGTCGTTATTGAGAAGTTAAACTTTCAGCAAAGCAAGGACTAGAAGACTTACATAAGTCAAATCCAATCTCTTGACCGTCATAAAGTGCTTTGTAAAGTTTCATTAAACTGAACTCAGAGTCTTTGTCATATGTTCCTTGCGGAACCATTAAACCTTTATCTTCATCATAGAAACACTGAACAGAGTCAGGAAACATTTCATTAGCGGTTAAAGCAATAACATCTTGCTTCACGCCTTTCATTCTGCAGTGAAATGCAACTTCATTTAAATCATTCGTGAGTAAGTCTATGTAAGTCTTCTTTCCACAAAATATTGACTTGTATGCTAAACTTTGTTTTCCAGTTGTTATTTCTGCAAAGTCGCTATGAAATTGACCAAGGTTTTTACCAATGAGAACTCTTCCATAACGTTTCTCAAACTCTTCAGCTAAACAAGGGATATCTTCATTGTAGAGATGCATACTGTCCGTATCGCTATAAAAGATGTCCATTCCCATATCTTCAGCAGTACAGAATACTTTACACATTATTCTCTTCGACATTGACAGAATATTAACACCAAGTGGACAGAAGTTAAAGTGTCTGCAAATGCTTTTCGTTAGCTTGAAAATAGTTTTATCTGAACCATCCAAACCTTCGAACTTCACTATATGGTTGTAGTTTCTGATGGCATATCTTATAGCATCTTTGTCATTTACTATGGTTATTTTTGACTCAATAGGAGATAGAATAGTTTTGCCATAAATACTGTTCAGAATGAGCTTTATATTTTCTTGCAAAGGATTTCCTTCTTTCTTATACTTTAACCTTAACTCAAACAACTTCTTTACTTCATCTCTTATTCTAATATCTCTGTTTCCATCGTAATAGTATCCTTGCAACACTTCACATTTGACACCTTGATATTTTATGAGGTCTTGTAATGTTATATGGTCAACATACATTAAACAGCAAGTGTTTGAACTTCTGGGAACGTTAAGTTCTGGATTTAGTTCAGGGCCACAAACTATTAAAGGAAAGTGTCTATGTATTCCAATCTCTGTTATCTTAATGAGAACAAAGAAGCCAGATATAAACTTTTCACCAATGGGTTCCTTTTGGTCGTCATCGAATAAATGTCTCATGAGATACTCTGTGCTTAACATTTCTTTCTTCATACCTTTGGAATACCTTCTAAAGTATAAAGTCTTGCTATAGCTGATGGATATAATGAAACAGCGTCGAATCAGCAATGAGTTTCTTTTTGCTCTTTTGTTTCATGTTATCTGACAGCATACATCTTCCACCTTGAATACAGCGTGAAATAAATTCTCTTGGTTTATTTGAGAGGTCATATAAATTTCCATTCTGGAAGTACACTCTGTTCTCAAATAATTTGTTAGCAATTGAACAAATACTAACGTAGTCATAAACGTTTAAATCAAATTCTTTCAATATGTCATTGCGGAACTTAACAAAACCTTCTCTTAAAATTCTTACATCTTGTTTGCAATAAAATGTGCTATACTTTTCTAAGTCGAAGTGGTTTTCATCTATTCTGCAACCTTTGATGGAATCTATGTTTTTCATGAATGTATCTGCATCCCGGATAAACTTACATGCTTCAGAAATGACACCAGTTCTGTTGTCATTTGCTAACAAAACACTGCTGTAGTAGTTGTATGGAAATACTTCTTTCGGTCCTGTTTGTAAGTTAAACATAGCAGGAAATAGTTTAAGCTTCTTATTTATAACACTGTAAGAGTCTTTTATAATAATTGCCCTTCCTTTATATAAGCCAGTTATTTGCATTGTTCGTGAACCTTTAATGATGGGAGTTCCTTTCACTTCTGTCATGTGTCTTAAGATGAAGTTTATATCATAACTGAGGTTATGGAAATATATTAAACTCTTGTCAGGAAGTCGTTCCAAAAATTCTGTTGCACAGTTCTGACCCCAAATGCTTTCACTCACTGAACCATCTTCACTGTCATAACAGATGTTAAAAGCTTTATGAAAGCCGTCTGTGCTACACTCAAAGTCAGCAAAGAAAACGTGCTCAGGAATGAACTTGCACTTATTTTTATTTACTTCTTTTGACTCGGCTTTCTTCTTCAGTTGTACACAATACTTTGGAGCATATGACAATCTTTAAATGGTGCAAGGTTCTGTTTATATAAGTCAGTCGTATATGTGAAAAGTTCTCCATAAGAAATAGGTTCGAAATATTTGCACTCCCACAATGTTTTCATAACATCCCATAACGGTGTTGTTCTATCATAACGAACTACATATTTATCTTCTCTCTTTGTATAAATCTTCATCTGTTTCTCAATGTTCATTCCACCACAAGCTTTGAGAATTTCTATATAGTTGCGAATGAAATATGTTGTCATTGGTAATCTTTCATTTAGCATGTAGTGGTCTTCAACAAGAAGTAAGTCAATAGTTCGAACAGTTTACATTCTTTTGGTATGTATCTCTTTATTTCATTATGTCTTGAGTCATTGAATAACCAATGGTAACATTAAATGCTATACCTGTTGCGTCAGAAATTTCTTGTACTTTACTTTGAGGAAAGTCTCTAACACGAATGACTTCTCTCATGTGGTCAATAGTTTCTTCATTTACTCCAGCCTGAATGCAAGCATAAACGAAACAATTGTCTTCTGTCATAAGTGCTGCAGTTCTTTTGTTCATTCATTGAAGATTTGGTAGCGTTCAAGATTTATAGGTAATGTGCAAAGATACTTCCAGAACTGACCGCTTCTCTTCTTATAAAACTTCTTTTCACCATTATCTTTCCAAAAGCTTTCTATAAGTGCTGGGTTTCCTGTTTGCTTAAGAGCTTCCAAAATGGCTTTCTGGTCATTTGTCAGTGTGCTTTCATCTCTATATGGTCTCTTTTTTGGTTTGCCTTTCTTTACATCTGACATCGTTAAGCCTTCATATTCTGTTAAATCATACATCTTTATTTCAGTAAGATTCTTTATGTTTGTCAAGAAGAAGTCATAGTGCATTTCAACAATACCTGCAGCATTTGCTTCTATCTCTGATATAAAGTTCTCCTTCAAGAGCTGATAGTAATGTTCCAATATTATTGAGGTTTAACGTAGAACATTCATACTTTCCACCAAGTTTATAACATACCATCCATCTCTGTTGTGAGTTTATTTTAATTTTCTCTAAGAGTCTCATGAAAACCTTACCGAAATGTTTGTGTAAGTAGTCTCTGTTTGGTTCATCTAAAGCTTCGATGTTAAAGTCAATGAGTCTATTGCCTGACTTCACATTTCTCTTCCTATTCTCTTCATCTTTCTTTAACCATCTCTCACCTTCTTTTGGTTTGTCGTCAATGGAACGAATGACATCGTTAGCTTTGCGAACTTGTTCTATAGCACTTTTAAACATCTCTCTTCTCTGTTGTTTCAGTGTGTCGTCTCTTCTTCTTGTTTCACCAACGTTTGCATTTGTTATGTCAAACATTTCTCTTCTTACTTCATGAGGTACTGAACGTCTATGATATAAGTCAATAGCAACGTCATTTAAAGGAAATGCTCTTGCATGGACTTCGTCCTCGCCGCGTTGCGGCTTTATGAACTCATGAATTCTATCATAACTTATAGCACCATTATAGTCATTGAGGATGTCAGCGAGTGCTTTTTTGTTTGTTGCGTAATGCTTTGCAACATCTATGTTAGCCTCTGTAAGAAGTTGTTTTATTTCCGAGTGTTCTAACTTAGACAACTTCCGATACATCTTTAGTAGGAAATAAAAAATATTTTTTGAAAAAATTAGATTAGATTTTTTAAAGTTATTTTTCAAAATAATTTAATATTTTTATTTTAATGAAACACATGCAAGATTGCAAGTTCTTTTCATACAATGCTCTCGCTACTGCCATCAAGAATGAGTTCAATAATGCTTCAAATGTTAATGTTATCTTTAACAAGAAGTTTGTGAAAGAATCTAAGTTTGGTCAGTATGTCAGACCATTAGTTATCGTCATTGACCGCAAACGTTATACTTCACAAGAGTTAGCAGTAGTTTTGAAACAAAAGAGTTTCTTCGTGAATGTCAAAGATACTCATTATACTGTTATAAAGAACTCTAATATTGACTTCTTCAGTATTGCTTTAAATCTTTCCGAACAGAAAGAATATAAGAAAGGTGAAACAAATGTGAAATATTATCCTTCATCTCTGAAGACAATAACGAACAAAGATGTTATACAGAAATTCTTACCAAAGGTTGAAGAAGCTTCTATTGACATTGACGAAGGAAGTGAAATGGTTGAAGAAATAGACCCTGAAGCTATTTAAGCAAAAATATATTTTTGAAGAACTGAAGGTGTCACCACGTCACCATGTGTCACCTGGTTAATTAACTTCTTTTAAAAATGATGACAGCATGACATTTAGACAACAGCATGGGTTGAATGCAAAAATATTTTTAGGAGAGAATGCAGCATTTATGAAATATTTTTGAAGAACTGATGGTGTCACTACGTCACCATGTGTCACCAGGTTAATTAACTTCTTTTAAAAAGTGTGACAACATGACATTTAGACAACAGCAAAGATGGAAAGCAAAAATAAATTCCAATCATACTTTATACTGCATCATTTACAGGTATTTCATCGTCAGTAAATGAATCCTCATTATCGTTTGGTTCAACCTGTTTATATAATCCTTTCATTTCTTCTTTCAAAACATAACACCATGTTTGTTTACCATCTATTCTTCTCTGTTTCCTTTCACATTTATCTTTAATGCTCATTTGAAAGTTTTTGTCTTTCATGTCTGATGGTTTGCAGCATAGAGCATTTTTACACGTCATACCTGCACACAATTCATCATAATGTGTATTTATCCATTCATCTAAAGGATTTGTTGATAATTCTATTAAATCTTGTTTGGCTTCAGTCATCGGTATGATTCGTACGTTAAATGATGAAAGGTCATATTGCATAAAATATGTTAAAAGGTTATCATAAAATTCCTTTGTGCATGAATTCATCAAATTCTTGAAATAATCAAATTGACCCTTGAATTTACCATTAACTCTTAAAACTACGTATCTTCTGTCTCCAACTTCAATTTTGACAGGGTAGACGTTGTTAGTTACGAAAATGAAGTTTGCAACGTTCTGTGCTGTTCTTCTGGGTTGATTCTTTTCAGTAATTCTTATTTGATTATCCGTAATAATTGATTTCAAAGCGTTGAAGTTTGCGAGTCTATCTTCACCTACATTCTTGAGTTCATTAAGTACAAGAAACATTTTATTCTCAACTACTGAATTGAAATTACCCGTTAGCTCACTTATTTCAGTAATGTTTTTGATTGAATAACCGGCGAGAAGTTCAGAAATAATGTCTGTAAATCTGTTTTTACCTGTTTCCTGAAGTCCTTTCAAAATAATTGCTGTTTCATTCTTGATTCCAGGATGTTGAATCATTGATGCAATCCAGCCGAGAAGGTATTTATACACTTCATCGTTATTATCACAAATGGCTTCTTTAATGAAATTCATAAACATTTCAATTTTTGAGTAATCAGGCTTTTCAAGAATGTTGTATTTATAACCCTGAAACGTTGAGAAAACATCTGGGGAATCAGATTTAAAGCAAACACCCTTAACGGTTAATGAGGATAATTGATTTAATAGTACGTCCCATGCTGTTATGGTTTTACCTTCTTCTTTAAATAATTTAATCATTTTGAGTGACTCTTTCATGTTTGATTGAAGAACGAATGATATTTGATTCATTTTGTCGTGTATGTTGTAATCTTTCTGAATGAAGTATTTGTTTCCACAATCTACAAAACGGATTACACGTGATAAATCCTCAATTACTTCAGAACTGTTTTTATACTGATGATTTTCAGCCTTGCGTCTAATATCTGTTATCAAGAATGAATCATCAAGTTTTATATCAAATGTTATTTTTGGCTTACGTAATAAAGGTAAAACGTATTCATCATAATATTCTTTTTGATATAGTTTTAGAATCTTCACCAAAACAAATGGAGAAGTCATTAAATGTGCATATCTACTACGTGCTTTTTCAAAATTACTTTTAGCATTTTCTGTTAAACTGCAGAAGTTATAAACGTTATCGTATGCTTCATTAATCAAATGATCCGGTAACAAATTAATTGCTTGAAACAGTGTGAATAATGTTACTTCTTTTTCTAAATTCATGTTTCCACCGTCATTATGTACTTCAAAATCACTGATGCCATCAACTATGCTCTGGGCAAGTTTATCGTCAATGTTTACATCTTTGTTTTCATTCATGATAGTCTTTATTTCTTCGTTCTTCTGTTCAACTCTTACCTTAATATTCAAATCATTTAATATATCATTCACTGTTCTGGTTAATATTGAATCGTAACTTCCACGAATGAATGAGTATGTTTTTATTGGTTCTGTTGCATTCTTGCGAACTCTTGAATCAGCCATAACTACTAAAGAACGCTTTGAATCATCAATAGAAGTCATGATATCGATATCATAATCATTGCAGGAATAACATTTAATCATTCTGTTCGAAACTGAATAGAAGAAATTAGTGTTGCAATAAATGTGAAGACCTCCTGAAGCGGTTTTAACGATAACATCTTTATCCGAAAGTTTTGATAAAATATCTTTTCTAACTGTTTCTTTAAGTTCATCATTGTATGATTTATTGATATCAACATCTATAATCGTTAAATTTGAAATTTTATTTACTAATAAAGCCATACCAGTTTTCCTTCCTCTTCCTTCATCGTGTTTGAGGTAGTTATGTAAATCAATCTTGTTTTCACCAATTCTTTCGTTGAGGGTTTTAGTTTCTGCCACAACTAATTCCTCAGCTAATGAATCAATAACTTTTTCATCAGAAACAATATAGTTGCTGTTGTTGTTTGTTGCTGTCATTTATATAGGAATAAAAAAATAAAAATAATTTTAAAACTAACTTTATTTTTGGACTGCATCAAATTTCCGGGACTGTTGTCAAAATGTCATGTTGTCATCATTTTTAAGAGAAGTTAATTAACCTGGTGACATGGTGACGTAGTGACACTTTCAGTTCTTCAAAAATAATTAATTATTGAATAACCTAAAAACCATTAACGATAAAATATATTTCCAGGACTGTTGTCAAAATGTCATGTTGTCATCATTTTTAAGAGAAGTTAATTAACCTGGTGACATGGTGACGTAGTGACACTTTCAGTTCTTCAAAAATAATTAATTATTGAATAACCTAAAAACCATTAACGATAAAATATATTTCTGCAGTTCATCCGTTACTTCATTATCTCATTAATTACAGACATAAAATATATTTAGTTTAGAAGAATTTTCTTATTCTTTCTGGCATATTTTTGTCTTTCCAGTACTCCCGCTCTAATGGTCCCAGATGTGTTGGCTTCGACTCTCTCAAGTTCTTAGATGGTATAACATCTTCAACGCCTCCTTCATATCTTACTTTATAAGTGTCATCGTTTGTGTTATAGCCAAGTATCTCAATAACCACTCCTCGCTTTGCTTCGTCAATGGTTTCAGCAAGTTTGCCATTACTACTTTCAACTAATTTATGACGAGGATAAAACGCAATAGAGTCGTCGGCAGCTTTTATAAGATATCCATTACCTTGCGTAGAGTCTACGATATAATAGTTTCTACTTAACCTTAAACGTTTCTTTGTCAACGGTTTGTCGTCAAGAACTACACGAACTTTTGTACCAGGAATAAGGGTAAATTGTGTTGAATTTCTGATATTTTGTGTTTGACTTCGTTTCTTTTGTATATACTTTTCTTCTTGTTGTTGTGTCATTGAATTTGGTGTATGTCCTGTTGTAGAATGTGTTGAGGAATTATATACTTCGAGAAAGTGTTTCATTGTTTCTTCGGTAAAGTCTCGCTCTTGGTTTAAATCTCTGAGCGTTCTTATGAAGCGGTTTATGATGCCGAGTATGTTATGGTTATGGTCTTCAGTAGTGTAGTGAGTTATGTTATGCTTAATGAGAAATTCTGTGATTTCATTACTGAGGTATGCACTGTCTTGGTCTGATGTTAAAGTACTTGGGCTATGTTCTGCTACAAACTTTTGTAAAACTCTTAACACTTCACGAGTTCCTTTATTTTTCATTGGATATGCATATGCTTTACGAGTGTTAACATTAATGAAGATGAGGAATGGTTTATGTCCTCCTTTTCTGCTTTGAATGAGAGTGTCAAATTGGTATGCGTCAGGAGTGTTGGAGTAAATTGGTAAAAAGTAGTCGTAAGGGTTTATTTTTGTTTGATGTACAACATTTTTGTCAAAGAACCTTTTCACTTCAGCTCTGTTAGTAAATCCCCAACTCTTTGCAGCTTCATTGAACTTCTTAAATGACCTCCATGGATGTTGTTCGAATACTTCTTTCAAGCTCATTTATGTAAAGTTAAAGATTTTATTCTAGGCTCAAGCGCGTTCATTGAACGCGGTACCATGCGAATATAGTCACAAATGGTGGCATATAATCTGCACCCGAGCCTGTTGGATTTGTTGTGAAAGTGTGTGAATGATTTCCTCCTGGTTCAGTTGGTAGAAAAGTCTTTTTTGCTGAATTGTTATAAGATGAAGAGAAAACGTCATGGCCAGCTTCATACTCTGAGTTGTATAATGGGTGGTCTCTTAATGAGTGGCTATGGTCGCCAGAAAAGTTTGTCGTTCCTGTATGAGTGTGTGGTGGAAGGTTTGCTTCTTTAATTTTCTTCGAACCTCCTGTTTGCTTTGAATATCTAGCACAGTATAAGAATTTATCTACAATCTGCTTCCACATACCAAAACCTAAAACTGTTTCTGGATTTGTTGAATTCATTGACGTATAAATAGAACCAACAGGATATAATGTTTGAAGTATTTCAGTCTTTAATGTTTGAAGCTCTGTTTTGTCTGCTTTCTTATCATATAAATCTTGAGCAGTGAATTTAACATTATTTTCATCATCCATGACATAAACATTTTTACAGCTAATTTCTTTCTTCGTTGTTATGTTTTCATTCAATGTTAAACCTTGTGGAAAGTTAGGAGGTTTATAATATAATGCATCCCCACCAGTTCCGCCAACCGTTCCTTCAATACTTTCTATAGCAACAGTTGAGAAGGAGTTATGTGTATGTTCTTTATCTGCTTTTTTATCTAACATTGCTGGTAGTTCATGTGTTTCAAAGTTTCTGACATGACCTTCAATGTTCATACATTTACTATTTAAGGAGTTTAGTGTATCTTTTACGCTTGTACTTGGATTCTCTAAAGGTGCACTTGAACCAAGGGTATAGTTCAATATTATGTCGTCTGCTCTAACAGTAGTGAAGGATTTATGTGTATGTTCTTTGTCAGCTTTACTATTTAATGTAGCTTGAAGTTCATTTATATCGGAGATATTGTGTTTATGAGATTTCAAAACTTTGTTCGTTGCGTCAAGTTCATCTTTGCTGGCTTTACTTTTAATAGCATCTTCAAAAGTTATTTTTGCCTTAACTCTCAAAGTAAATTTTGGTTCAACTAATACACCGTTAACAAAGAAGTATGAAGCATAAATTTCATTGTTATAACCAAATGCTTCTGGTGCTTTACCTGTGTCATACTGTACAGTACAGCTTATGTCATAACCTTTAGCACGAATGAATTTATATCTTCTTTCATTAACATCTTCCGTCTTCACTTCTTCATCCTGTGTTAAATATCCATGATAATCCGTTATAATCTGTTCGTCTGAACTTATATAATGAACATGGTTTTTATCTGCTTTTTCGGCTAATTTCTCTTCTATCTCATTTATTTCAAGTTCATGCCTACCACCACCTCCCGAAGAAGTATTTTTCTTCAGCTCTTGAAGAACGTCCACTTCGCCATCTTTGGTGTCAATAATGAGACTTTGAGTTAAAACCTTTCCTGTCTTAATGGATGTTTGTAAAACTTCTTCTTCACGGTGTTCGGGGTCATGGGCGTCATCATATCTTGTGAAATCAGAGATGTTGTCATACATTAAGCATATCTGTCTCAAAAGTTCTGCTATTTGAAACTGGAACGAAAGATATACAGAACTTTCATCATCTCCTAAAGTCAAGTCTGCTTTCTTAAGTATTTCTTGAATGTATGCAATGAGAACAGAGTACCTTGGAAAATATTCGAACAATATTTCATTAGCTGTTGGTTTTGGTGGTTCTTCTGGAGTTTCTGTTGTTTCAGTTCCTTCTGTAGGTTCTGTTGGAGTTTCTGCATCTCTTGACTTCAATGCTCTTGCTCTCAAAGACCTAAATGTTAGAGCACCAGGTTTTACAAAGGACTTTATAAATGCTTTAATAGTTCCTGGTAAGTTATTGTTAGCATTAAGTAAGTTCCTTATGCTTCCATCATGTACGTCCATAGCACTATGTAAAAAATCTATACTTTTCTTGTAGTCAGCAATAGACTGACTGTGATTTTTTAAAGATTTGTCAATACCTTTAAGCCAATCTTCATGCATATCTGATACTGAGCCAAGAATATCATTTGCTTCCTTTAGTGTATTTTGTGCTTCTCGTAAAGTATCCAATCCCGTACGTGCATTGTTTGCTATACGTCTTACAGTATCTATTTGACTCCTTGTTTCTTGCATCCAACCAGATAAAGTTTTAATAGTATCAGAACCATTTGAAATGAAGTTCAAAGCATTTTTAACGTCATCTAAAACTTCTTCACCAAGTACTGCCCATATCTTTCCGATTTGGTATTGAAGAACTCCATATGAAGCAGCTGTTAAACCAGTATTTATAAGGTTCCATATCCATGATTTAGCAGTTTTTCCATCCTTTCCATCTTCACCATCCAAACCGTTTTCGCCTTGAGGTCCTTGTATTCCTTGTATTCCTTGTATTCCTTGTGGTCCTTGAGGTCCGGTGTCACCCTTCTCTCCTTTCAGTTCATCTTTATGTTCGTTATAATATTCTAATGTCATAAGGTGTACATCATTACTGCTACCAGCAACGCCGAGAATTTGTTTCTCATTCATGACTAAATTCTTTAGGCATTTAATGTTGTCGTCAAATCGAAAGCTCTTTAACAATTCAATGAGAACATTTAATACTTTCACTAATGAGGCATCTACTGTAGAATTTATATATTGCACCGTTCCATCATTTATGATGGGAACTTTACTTATTGTAATGAATGGGTCATACGTGTTAAAAGTATCGAAATCAATGACTTTTTTAGTTTTTCCATCGTCAATGACTAAATCATTGCCTTCAATGGTTAAAGTTGAGTTTTCGTTTACTAGTTCATGTGCTCTTCTTGCTTCATTTGTTTCATACGCATATGCAGCAATAGTCATATTTTAATGAGAATAAAATGTTGTTCTATTTGCAAAGTACAGACCCAAACGAATACGGGACAGTAAAGCTACAAACAAACTTAGGTCTACAGAATGAGGCTCTTGCATTCAGAATGGTTGACTTCAATACTATCGCTTCATTCGTTATAACAGATGAAACAGATTTCATGGAGATTGAAATAGATGGAAAGAAGCACGAAATAAGATTTCACAATAATGTAGAATATAAGATGGAAACATTAGCTGGAGTGTTAAATGCTCTCATAAATACTACAATAAACAAGGATAACGAAGAAAACGTAATGAATGTTAAACTTATTGCAGGAGTTTTGAAGTTCAATTATGCGAAGGAGTTTAAGATAACACGAATGAGTCATAGAGTACAACTTCTTTTGGGTGCATACCATATGACATTTCCTTTGAAAAGTGTTGACAAAACGATTGAGATGAAATCTGTTCCATACGTATGTTATGGTAATTGTTTATACATTGAGTCTAAAATAGCTAATGTCACAGGCATTTCAGGAGTTAATAGTAAAGGTTCAGTAGAATATAAATCCTTCTGTTATGCAGTCAATTCAATGTTCATTCCAAACGTTCCTGTCATAGCAACTCATTTAGGTAAATGGGTTCGCATTAGTCCTCATAATTTGAAAGACATGCAATTCAGACTTGTTGATTTTCAAGGAGAGCCTGTAGAACTGAAGGCACCAGTGCGAATGACTGTTGAAGTTGACTTTTTAGAAAATATTAAATGCAACAGCTTACAAGAGAACTCAGAGCTAAAAATATAAAGTATGAATGTTATGTATTAGGTCATGAACTTTGGTTGTTGCTGTTTGATGAAACAAATGAATTAGTTATGTCAGTCAAGAGAACAGAAAAATATTGTGTTAGTGAAAACTGCACCAAGTCAATAAGATTAGGTTTGCATTATGAAGATGAGTTCGATACTGTTGAAGAAGTTTTGGATAGATATTACAAATTGCTAACTTGAAATTTTTTTTGACTGACGGCGCAAAGCGCCAAGATGGGCTCAAAGAGCCCTCCTGACTGCTTTAATTTACTAAAACATATTTCAAACAAAGCTTATAGTCAGTAGATAGTTTTGTATACTCGTTCGAATATTTATACTTAAACTCAACTCCTGTAGTTCCTGGTGTTTCAATGATGCGGATGTTACCTATTTTCATGAATAGTGGAGTTTGACCACAGCATTCGATTTCAGGGTCGAGATAGTCAATGACACATTGTTTCCCTGTTATTCGTGAGATAACATTTTCAAGGTCCTCCTTTGTTAGAATTATTTGGTTCTTGCTTATAAGATTTGTCAAAAGCTTCTTATCGTCTTTGAGTAAGATAGTTTGGTATAACTGAAGAAGGTAATGGTCTACGTTATCTGAAGGATTTGTTTGAACATTTGTGTAAGGATTGTCGTTGGCTTCTCTTGAAAGAATTTGGTCCAGTGGTGGATACTCTAACTTAACATCTGATGTAGCGTTAGCGTTTGAAGCTGAGTTTAAATTCACGTAGAGATGTGAAAACTTAAATTTTATAATCCCTGGGATGCACTTTCTTCGATTTTTTTAAATTTTTGGGATAAATTTTGACATCTTTTTTTTTGCTGGCGACCCCCCCCCCGTTTAGGGCATCAAAAAAACATGTTGTTTCGTTTCAAGATCGGGATATGTTGTGAACCCGACATCTTTCATTAATGAAGTGATTTCTTAAGTTGAATAAAAACAAATTTGATTGAAATTCATACAAAATTTCTTTTTATCATTATTATTTAAGATGCTTTTTTATGTTGAATTGTTAATTTTTTTATTTCCACCTGGGATATTTTGAATTGGGCTAGCCCAATCCCACCTCTCAATTTTCTCTCAATTGGGCAATGGGGATCCCATATAAAATGTATTGTAACAAAATTTTACATGCATAATATAATACAATTAAACAACATTCTAAAAATATTAAATTCACATCATTTACTTGAAGATTTTATATTTTCAACAAAAATTAATACAATAATTACATTAAATTGAGGAGATTTATAATATTTATTATAAATTAAAATATTATTACTCATTAATTTGTTGAAATATTGCATTTTAGTGGTAAAAATTAAAATTTAAGTTTACATGGAGAAAAAAAATTTTTAAATTCCAAAAAAAATTCAATTGGGATAACGATAGGGACAAAAATTTAGAATCCCCATATGCTTGGGATAAAATCACATGACTAATTCACGGATTTCAGCTCTGGTTCTTTTTCTTTCAAACACTCTGAACTATAGTTCTTTATGACAATATTGTTTGTCGTTCGTGAGTCAACATTTGATGTTGGTTCAATTGGAACATTAACGGCACCAGCTAAGATGGATTTGCTTCTCATTTCATATAGAATAAAAACCTTTTATATGTATGAAATGAACAATATACTCGACAAGGGTTTGAATGTAAAGCTAACGAATGAAAATATTGTTGAATTCACTGAGACAGGAGCTGTGTATAAAGATGTAGAACTACTGAACAAAAGAGCTAAGGGAAGAAGCAGGAACATGAACAAAGGGTGGAAGCCTATAAAAATTTATGTCAATGATGGCTCAGGAGGTTCAAACATAAAGTATGCAGAAAGTTATAGAGTTTATGCTCTCAAAGGTGAAAAGCCTTCATTTAAGAACAGCTATCTAACGCATATCCTCAAAAGCTAACGGATGGGGAAGTGGATGATATGAATGACAGCAAAAATATTAACAGAAATGGCGACAGAGATGCATGGAATTTGTTTACCATCAGTCAATTGAAGGTTAAACTTTAAAACAATGTTGGTCGTTCCCATGGAATATTTTTGACTTTAATGGTATTAGTCATGATATGAATCTCAAGGTATGAACGAGGAGAGATGAAGACTTATATGCTTCCCAAATTTCTTCAAAAGGTAATGTTATACCTGACTGTTTCCAAATGAGTTCAATATCATAACGTGAGAAACCTTGAAAGATAACGAAGTCAGTTATGAGACGTTTTATGTTTAAAGCTAAAAACCTCCATGTTTGCATAAGTATTGCTACAGTTAAGTGGTAATGTCTGACTTTAGTAATGATGTTAGCTAATGGTGAGTCTGGTTTTGACACTAAACCTTTACCAGCGAAGTCGTCACAAACTAATAAAGTGTTTGATGGATACTTTTTGAAGGGGTATTTTGAAAGTTTTGACAGAATGTAGTTTGTAAGTCGTTTCATATCGTAAACTCCTGAGTATTGACGTAAGTGGTGTTTGTCAATAATTCTTTCCATCTCCTCAGAAGTCTTTTGCATTCCTGACTGTATAAATTCAACGATGGCATAATATTTCCTCTTACGTCGAATGTAACGTTGAAGAAATTCAATGAGTTCACTGTCTGGAACTTTAACGACAGAGGCTTGAACTTTTGACATAAATGTTTTCGCTGTTGAGTCCATAGAGTCTGAAGTTGCTGATATAATGATTTGGTCATAGTAAGAGTCGTTTCCTAACGCTCTGTTATGAGTATATGACGAATGAGGTTAAATGTCTTACCTGAACCCATCTTTCCACAATAGAAATAAACACCATTTGAACAGAACTCATAGTCCTTGCTGAAAGGAAGAATGAGAGAAGAGTTAAGTTTGTCTGTAGTTTCATTCATGTCTT